GCCAAATTTCATAATTAGCGTTGCATGGTCTTCGGCGGCTACTGTACTGTACAATATTGTTCTTCGTTCTCATTGGTTACTGATCCCATCGGTTCCTGCACTGTCAAAATTTTACGCCTGGCGGTTTTCAAATACCTCCCATTTATTCAGTGCTCTTCTTGGCTTTTTTTCGATTTACGCGGTCTACTCCGTTGCTAAGTAGCGGCCAAAGTGAAACGAATCAGACTAGATTAGACTAATTTTTGCGATATTTTTCACTTATTTCTACAACTTTCCTTCATTCCCCCACCAACAAAACCCCTATTACCACCGTTTCCGTAAAACACAAAACTGGGTCTGAGCGAAAAGAAGTTTCGCTACCAATGTTACCTCTGCCGAATATTTTAAATAACAGATCCGTGACAAAATTTACTTAAGAGAACTCAAATCTAGCTTTCCCGGTTTCAAAGTATGTGTATAAGCCCATAAATCTCCCACCGAGGCCGCCGAATTTTTCGCAATTGGGTCAATTGAATTATTCAATTCTACCAATTCTACCTCCTAATAATTAAGTGTACCTGGTAGTTATCTAGTTGATTGTAGGTTGATTGCTTAGGGAATCCTGCTTGGACAGTTAACTCATTGTATCAGTATAGGTGGATTTCATACGTTGCAGTAGGCTAGACGGGTAACTCGACTCAAGTGTGATTAAACTCACGGTTCCCGGTGGGGCCTCGATACAGTAGTCGCCGGTTATTAAGCCCACGGTTAATAGGCCCAGCCACTTATTAAGCCCAATTTGGTGTGGGCCGGTGGGCTTAATAACCGGCGACTACTGGACTAGGACTCTCCGCTTAGTGCGCCCGCCGATTATTAAGCCCAATTTAGTCTGGGCCCGAGGTGGGCTTAATAACCGGCGACTACGGTAGCTCCTTTGGTTAGAGCCTTGGCTCTACTAAAGCCTGCCTCTTGCTGGCATGGGTTCGAATCCCGCAGAGGCCTCCGAATGTTTCAAAATTCGGTCAAGAAAATTATTCAAATCTGTCAAACCCTCCTAGCATGATGATATTGTTATGCGTAAGACACAATCCTGGGTTCCAAAATGGCGCTCAATATTTGTCTTACACCATGTAAATTAAGGAGCCTGAACTATTCCTCCCCCCATCCACTTTTATTTATACACACTGGAAAGACGAGGCTCTTCATTAAGTCAATTATAAATGAATTCCAACAGTTGGTGATCCTTCTTTGATTACCAATATCTTCTTTCCCCCCATAAACTTCCTAGTTTATTTTTGTTCAGTGGTCAATCTGTTGGGACACAAAGACTTTGAATTTCAGCATTTCTTAGAACACACACTTATCTATACCGACCTGGCCTTTGACTATATTTCTTGACTTCTTTCGATTTCCTGGCGAACTTTGACCGTAATGCTAGTGAGTGTACTTGGCGATCAAAGTACTCCCGTACTTAACAATGCTGGGCTCTTCGCTTGCTGTAGTGGTCCCGAAAGCAGACTGTTACCGAGATCGGGTTCTGTAGATCCGGAGAAAGTTACACTTATTCACCTTAGACGACAACAGCCGGTCATTCCATCATTGTTCGTGTCGGTTTAGGTTTGCCTGCAAACGGTTTTCGTAAACTTCGTTTCGGATGACGCTCCAAATCGCTATGTAATTGGCAAGCAAGGCAAAATCACAATTAGTTCATTGACGCAGTCGTTAGCGTATATACTGAACGGTATAGAACCAAGAACGGAGAATTTGAGAACAAAACTTTGTAACCGCAACCTCCACGACTGCTGGCCACCGACATGAACAGTTTGAGAGCGGGCGATTAGGAACCTTCGAATCCACATCAAAAGCTTACCCTTTTGGCCAAACGGCTGAGGTTGTACAGAATGCATACGAAAATGGTTTTGTTCTAGGAACTGCATGCATTTTCGCTTAGTTATTTATCCCATCTTCTTGCACTGGATAGAGTTGCGGGGACCATATTTCAGTTCTTATAAAGCCGTGTAATCCACGTAGATTTCAAATTTACTGACAGATATTCGGCCTCAAAGGGTGCCTCGAAAGGAATAGAGAGTGGTTTTGCTAGCTCACTGGCAATCACCTTCAAAATCTTCGTCGGTACATCACCAAGACTCGACAATTTGGATTCCTTTAGAAGAATTGCTCCGGTGAACTGAACGGTATCAATTATTGCGGCCTCTTCGAAGTCACTCAAAGGATAATTGAAGCCGGTTCCCGTAGTGGAAACAGACATGACACATTTTGAAAAATAATCAGATTTCGCCTCCCTGAGATTTTTACCTTAAGCGGTCCTCAGCCGGGGGTATTGTGAATGCGCCAATTCCCACGGTTACTCATCTTACAGAGAAGCTGCCGAGTGCAAGTCCACGCCACTGTCAGGAGAGCGCGCGCTGTGGCTATCGATTTTTCCTCATAGCTGATTGGTCCCCTGTCGCTTACGCCTGCTCATGGTGCGGACTGAATAAATGCCCCACAGCCTTTTTTGTAAGAGTGACTTGCTTGACTTGTACTGTGAGAATGCACTTCTCCTCCTAGCCGATTGATTTCTCGTCTTTTCTCGTTCTGGCGTTCGGGGCAACAGCTGGACTAGCTCAGAGTTCGTGCTAATTACAAGTGCCAGCCGTGGGTCGTAACATATTGGATCTCAGTTTTGCTTGCTCTCTGTAGTGTAAAGCCCTTCACATCTGTTGGTGCCCTCGCTAACCCACTGTTCTGCCCTC